CCCAAAAAAAAAAAAAAAAAAAAAAACCCACCAAATTTAGAGGCAGGTGCTTGCTAAATTGCCAAATTACCCAGGCTGGGCTCAAACTTGGAATCCTTCTGCATTAGCCTCCCAAGATGTGGGGACTAAAAGTGTGTACCACCATGCATAGCTTGATTTACAGTTTTAAAAAATCATCATGAAAAGAGATTGGACTTTGGGGAAGGGGATGATTAAACCTTCAGTGTCATTGTTGAAATATACCTAAATTACATAGGAAGGAAGAGCATACCTGGTTAGTTGGCTAGCTATTTCTTTTTTATTTTTTCCATTAGATGTAAACTGAAGCTTTTTACCAGTTAGATTGATTATCTTTAAGGAAGGCACAGAAAATTTGAGGGAAACAAGATATAAAGTCAAGGCGACAGGGAAGCATACTTAGGAAAAAATTGGGGCTCTGATAATTTTTTTAAAATATATGGCTACTATTAGTTAAGTGCTATATAATAAATAGCAGTTAGTCACCTTTCTGTCACTGTGGCACAATACTTAAGAAAATCAACTTAAAGGAGGAGAGATTTAATTTGGCTTGTGGTTTCAGAGGTTTCAGTCTATGGTTTCTGGGCCTTGGTGAGGAAGAACAGGCATGGTGGTAAAGCAAAGTTGCTTAACTCATAGTGGCTGGAAAACAGAGAGAGAGAGAAAAAGGCCAGGGACAAAACACAGCCTTCAAAGGCATGTGCCCAAGGACCAACTTTCTCCCACTAGGCTGCACTTTCTAGCTTTCCGCTACCTCCTAGTACCCCATTAAAATATGAATCCATCAGTGGATTAATGCTTTGATGATGTTAGAGCACTCATAATCCTGTCACTTTCCAAAGTGCCCACCTTTGAACACTGCTGCACTGGGGACCAAGCCTTCAACACAGGAGATTTTGGAGGACGTTTCAGATTCCAACCAGAACAATAGCTAAGACTTAGCATTTATTGGGTTCCAGATACAACAATGCTAAGTGTTTCATACATTTATTGTTAATCTTCACATCCTGTGACATACATATTAATATTTGCACTATACAGGTGAGAAAATAGAGGCCAGGCAAAATTAATTTGTCCCTATTTACATAGCTAGTCAGAAGACACCTAAGGGTGCCTGACTTTAGATAGACTCTGTGCTTTTGATCACCATAATGTATAATAGACCTGAGTTGTATCTCTGATGGGATATGGGACAGGAAAAGTGAATAAACTAAGTATAAAAGAATTTTTGATTAATAGAATCTCTTGTTCATGATTGTTCATAAATTTTGTTAAGATAATCATATTCCTCAAATTGATCCTCAGACTCAATGTAACTCCTAAAGAAATCCCAGCCTGCTTTTTCTTTCTTTTTTTATGGTACTGGGGATCGAACTCAGGACTTTCCGCATGTGAGGCAGGCAGAGGAGCCACTGAGCTAAATCCACGGTCCCCAGCCTGCTTTTTCATAATAAAAGTCTAAAGAAAAAAAATAGGACTTAATCTAAATTTTAAAAACTTTTGTACTAAAACATTACTATACAGAATATGAAAAGAGGGTCAAGGATTTGGCTCAGTGGCACCTGCGCCTGCCTCACAAGCTCAAGGTCTTGAGTTCAATCTCTGGTACCCAAAAAAACAAAACAAAAATCCCCCCAAAACAAAGAAGAAGTCAGGCATGGTGGTGCACACCTATAATACCAGGTATGTGGGAGGCTGAAGCAGAAGGATCACAAGTTGAGGCCAGCCTGGACAATTTAATGAGCTCCTGTCTTAAAATAAAAAAACAGAAAAAGGACTGGTGATGTACCTCAGCAGCCCCTGGTTTCAGTCCCCAGTGAGACACACACACACACACACACACACACACACACACACACACACTAAAATAAATAAAATAAAGTGAAATACATCCCATGTATGGGAAAAATTATATCTGCCAAAGAACATGTGTTCAAAATATATAAAAGAAACTTAAAACTCAGTAATAAGATACACAGTCCTACTTTTAAAATGAGCAAAGGATCTAAATAGGTATTTCTCAAAAGAATTGAAAAAATGCTCAACATCATTAGCCATCAGGGAAAGGTGAATCAAAATTACAAGACACTTTAATTATAGGGTGACCACAATCAAAATGGCAAATGTGACAAGATATGGTGTAGGTGTGGAGTAAGAACCCTCATACAGGTGCAGCCACTTTGAAAAACAGCTCAGTAGTTACTCAAGAAGTTAAACACACTGCCTGCCTCGCAAGCACAAGGACCCAAGTTCAATCTCCGGTACCAAAAAAAAAGTTAAACAGAGGTACTACATAATCCATTCACTCCACTCCAGGGTATATACCTAAGAGAAATGAGAACATATTCACACAAAAACTTGTAAAGAATTTTTATAACAGCATTATTTAAATAGTCAAAAAAGTAGAAACAATCTAAATATCCATCAACTGTTAAATGGATAAACAATATATGCAATCCCCATTGAATGGCACTTTATTCAGCAGTAAAAAGGAATGAAGTATTGTTATGTTACTACAACATAACAAAGCTTGCTAAGTGAAGGATTTCAGTCACAGTCTATCACCTACTGCATTCACATAAATGTTCATAATAAGCAAATCTACAGAGGCAGAAAGTAGATTAGTGGTTGCTTCAGGATGGGGCAGTTTATTTGAAACACACATAGAGATTGATTGCATTCATATTAAATATTCCAAATATGCAAATCTATGAGACAAAAGGTAGTTTAGTGGTTGGCTGTGGTGGTAGAGAGGGGGTGTGTTAAGATAATGAGGAGTGATTGCTAATGGGAACAGGGTTAGGATTTTGTGGGGTTTCTTT